AAATATCAATCTGATGAATGAAATAACTAATATATACATATATAGTATAATATTAACTTAAAAATAATTTATACATTGTGCATACTGTTAATATTTCTATAAATAGTTTTACATAGGTACTTACTTAATTATTGTAATTGATTAATTATTACGCGCGATGTATGTATTATTAATCTATTAAATTAGTATAGTTATAAGAAACTGTATAATACTTATCTATGGGCGTTTCTCAAAAATAACTTACCAGTATAACTTTTTTATTTTTTTAGATGATAAAACGAAATTTTGTATAGTATATGATATAAATCGGGATTGATTGACTTATTCAATTAGTTTCGGTCGTTTTGCTGTTTCACCGGAAATGACTAATACCACTGATTTTTTTTCAAATGGTACCCTCAGTATTTTTTTACTCTATTTGATAGAAAATGACATTCTGAATAGAATGACATATCATATATCAATTTTCGACATTTTTAATTAAAAAAATTCTAAAGAGCTTTAGAAAAACAGATTTGATCCGTGAATGCTTTCCGTGTTTTTTTGTGGTCAGTTAAAAGATGCCCAAATCGTATTTTTAATCATAACCCAATTTTTTCAAATGGAAGGAGAGTGGCTTTCAAAAGAATTTTTTTCTAATGATTTGGTACCAGCACATACTTGGTATTTCGAGTCAAATTGTCGTTACATCTATTTCCATGGCACTCTAGAGTAAAATTTAAAATGATACTTTTTTTTAATTGAAAATGTCAAAAGTTGTCATTCTATTCAGAACATCATTTTCTATCATATAAAGTAAAAAATCCGAGGGTACAACTTTGGGGTACAATTTAAAAATCAAAAGTTGTTGTCATTTCCGGTGAAACAAGAAGTGTCCGACAATAATAATAATTATTGTAAACGTCAATCAATCCTGATTTTTGTTCTATACTAACATACCAAATCTCGTTTTTTATCTGAAAAAATAAAAAAGCTAGAGGTGAGGCACTTTTGAGAAACACCCGGTGTAGAAGAAATAAATATGTATTGTTCAGAGTACCCTTCAGTATATCAGTTTAAAAAAAGACCATTATACTTGCAAATGTTGTTTTTCATAGCTTCATGTCATCTTTTATCCTTTTCAAAACCAAATCAGTACCACAAAGTGTAAGTATAAAAAAATAACATGTAAGTTTTTTTTCATAACAATTGTATCCATATTATATCTAAACTATTGCTGATTTTATTTTTCTCTAAGCCTTTGCTTTGTGTCTATGATGGATCCAACACAAGAAAAATATTTAGAGGAAAAATGTTTACTGGTAGATAACCAGGATAATGTAGTAGGTGAAGCAACTAAAAGACAGTGTCATCTAGTGAGTGAAAATGGAGATATTCTACTGCACAGGGCCTTCAGTGTTTTCCTGTTCAACAGCAAAGGAGAATTGCTGATTCAAAAAAGATCCCATATGAAAATTACTTACCCCAACAAGTAAGATAAAACATTATTTTATATACTTGGGCCCCTTACTATTAGTATAATTTTAAAAAGATAATTTCAAGTTAAAAATTATAAAGATATATTTAAAAAATTGCATCCTTTAGAATCAAAATTAATTTATACAGGGTAGTCCGCATTGCATTCGGGAAACTTCGGCAGCATATTCTTCAGCTAAAAATAAGTAAAAAAGTTCGTATAAATGTATGTCTTAAAATGCTTTGTTTTAGAGATACAGGATGTAGAAGTTTCATTTTTCCAAATAATTTCTGAACTAACTAGTAGAGACCTTTTCATCCGTACCTGATATTGCACTAGTGAGTGAAAAAATATACATTTCCAAACTCCATTTAAAAAATTTCTCTTGGTAGAAATCGCTACGATTAATGGGTCTCAGGATACTAGGAATCCAAATCATCAATATACATGGGACCATTTACAAAAATTAAACATGTTGCAGATAGTTATTAGATTTAAATAATAAATTTAGAAATGTTTTTGTGCCAATGGTTTAACAGAAACTGTTTTATCATACTTTTTTCAACAAAAAAAAATTCATTAATTTAAAAAAATAAAGTTTCAAATTTATCATTTTAGTCTAATAACTATCCAGCCAACAAGTTTATTTTTTGTCAGTGATAACGTGATTGATAATTTCCATTCCAAATATCTTGAGAAGGGTTGCTCGCAGCAATTTTTACTAAGAGATCTCTTTTATGTAGAAAATAGCTATAAGTAGGAGTCATATTGACATGGGAACCCAATTTCTCGTCTCAAAAAAACACTCAGGCACCAGTTTTGATAGAAATATCGACTTTAGTTCAGAAGTTATCGAAACAAAATAGAAATAAAAATAAAACTTCTGTGCCCTGTATCTCCGAAACGAAGCATTTAAGATATAAATTTATACAAACGTTTTTATTATATATTATATTATATTTTATATTATATTTAGCTGCAGAATATGCTGCGGACGTTTCCAGAATATAATTTGGAGCACCCTGTATAACGCTCTCTATTTAATTTCAGATATACCAATTCATGTTGCAGTCACCCCTTAGCAGACATCGCAGAAGAAATAGAATCTAAAGATATTGTAGGAATAAAAAAAGCAGCCTTAAGAAAACTCAATCATGAGCTAGGAATAGAACCAGATAAACTCTCACTAGATAACCTCATCTACGTCACTAGAATTCACTACAAAGACTCAGGAGATGGTACTTTTTGGCGAACACGAAATTGACTACATCATTTCATCAAGAAGGATCTGGATGTCAAACCAAATCCTAATGAGGTGTCAGATGCGATATACGTCAGTTTGAACAGATTCGATCAGTTTTTGAGTGAAGTTGGCGATGATGAGTTGACTCCTTGGTTCAAGATGATTTTTAAAAAGAAATTGTTGGCTTTGTGGTGGAAAAACTTGGATTACATTGATAAATATATGGATCATAAGAATATACTTAAGTTAGATATGAACGACAATTTATAATATTATTAAATAAATGAGTTTCGCAAACTTCAGATATCCCTAACGGACTATAAAACTTTTAAACGCGGATTGCTTCATTCAAAACAAAATTTAAAAATTAAAGCTTAGAATAATATAGAACTGGAACCTGGATGTAGGTTTATAAAGCTTGATGTAACTCGGACCCGACTCTTTTTAAAATACTGATCTACCCATCTCCACCACCTAAGTATATTAAATCTATGTCGCACGATATATTTTTAGCTTTATAGCTTCACGCAAGCCATATCTCCTCTTCTTTTACTATTATGTTTATCTACCGATTTCAGCCCCGGATCTAAGGGGGGGCAAACCGGGGCGCCTGCCCCGGGCGCCAGTGTCAGGAGGCGCCAAAATCATAATATAATATGGTTGAAAATCAAAGAAATTGCTCCACAAAGTGCCTAGTATGCACCTTACGTTCTTCTATCAAGTATTCATTTAATTTTAAAACGTCCAGTTAGTCTAAACTGTCCCGTTTACGAAAAATGCCTACCTATATTTCATATCAATTAAACTTTTAGCCTTTTTTAGTTACGAAATCGAGAGCGCGATTTTTAAATTCATTGGTGCCAACCATGGACATATTCGACGCCGTGCTGACTAATTAGAATTTAACATTCGCGCTGGGGATTCAGGTGGTAGCTCTGCTGTAAAAAAATGTCAAGTTGCCGCATTTATTTATTTATTTCCTGACATTGCATTCGTTTTAACACTTTAGTTTTGTATTACGAGTTTTTGGGTTAAATAAATAGTGTTTTGATACTTTAAAATGTTTACTAGCAGACCTTGCAGTCGAACATTGTTCTTTTTAGAACCTCTTTTAGTGCGAAGTGTACAAGATAGCTTAATAGCTGTAACAAACTCATCGCAAATGTATTATGGGAAAGCAGCAGTAATGACCCTTTATGTCCCTTAAGTGCTGTTAAGAAGGTTCTGTTGATGTAAATAATAACTGTTGATGTAAATAATAACTGTTTATATATTTATAATTAATTTATTTTTGTTACCTAAAATATTTTGATTAAAAGAAAATATATAAAAGTGGACAACGCTGTGCCGGTCAAGCTTAATCGCGTGACTAAAACGGGCCACACATTATACGATTCGTCGTACTACATGTAGTACGACACCAAGTCGATACTACCATTGACACAGGGGTTGGATAGTTAGTGGCTTTGTAGTACTACTCGTAGTAAGACAAAGTCGTATCGTACGGAAGTATGGGATGCAGAAAATCTGTAGTACAACGCAGTAGTATATATACGATAGGTTTGATAGTTTGTGTGCCAGCGCTTCTTGTTGGAACCAACTCTAAATATTTTTAGTGGCAAATTAAGTACCTGTCTGCCATGTCTGGCCCGTTTAAAAGTTTATTTGATATGAACTGTATATTTAGATATATGTAAGTTTTTAAAATTAATTTATTTCAAAGGCTGGCGCTGGAGAGAGGGGGCGCTACTATCAATTTTTTGCCCCGGTTGAAAAAAACTGTAGATCCGGGGCTGACCGATTTACTAATACATTATTATAACTAATAGCGTTCTTTAGAAATTATATCACCAGCAAGGTCAAGATCTAATCCGAATTCTTATTTATGTACGCTAGAGTCTCCATTTAATTATATAACTAAGTGTATCGCCGCTGAGTGACTTTAGCAGCTGCATACCTAATATTCCATCAAAAATATAAAATGTAAAATGAAGTCAAGTCTAGCAACGCGGTTGTACTACAAAAAATTATGAGGTCTCATAGATATTGTAGATTGTATTGAAAGGGGGAAGTTAATCACTACTGCTTTATGGATCTATTGCGCCCCCCTATCTTGAGTTATAACTCATACAGTTTCGGGGCTTTGCCAAAATCCAGTATCGGAGACGGTTTTACAGCGGTTAGTTTTCTATCTCCGGTATCAGTCGTGCTAAAGTTTATAACACGAATGGTTGTCGTATCGGCGCACTCAGTAATGAGGTTTTCTGGTTTTCCCGATGTTCCAGACAGAATCTGCATTTACCGTTGGTTCTGAGCTTCAATCTAATGAGACGTTCATTGAGGAGTTTTTAACAGGACACTGTTAAAAACCCCGTGACAATCCGAAAATTGTTCTTACTTAAATCAGGGAAAATCTTAGATTTTTCTTTGTCGTAAGTCCTGAGAGATTTCTTCGTTTGGAGGATTCCCATTCCAGGTTACGAATGGAGTCTTCCAGGTTCTTGAATCCTGCTGTAAGTTGCTTTCTACTTGAGAAGCAGAACAGTTCATGTTCAGTAAATGAAGTGTTCGCTCCTTTTCTAGCTAGATCGATTTTTCATTATCTTCTATTCATTGGTGGGCTGGTACCCAGAGTAGAGGAACTTTATTTTTATTGCCTAATTTGTTCAGCTTCTCTAGGCATTCTTTAACCAACTTCGAATTCATGGTTACTGAGTTGATCGGTCTTAAGGCTGCTTGACTATCACAAAAGATTTGCAAGCACTAAACAAAAGACTATTCTTTAGAACTACTACTACTTTTCTTCTACTGATTTTTTTTATTTATTTGAAAATTTCAAGTTGTTGTTTTTGAAGGTGATGACAATTATTATAATTTACTTTACAGGATATTCCAATGTATAGGTTCAGTTAGTGGAGTGTTCGCTCCTTTGCTTGCTAGATCGTTTGCTTTTTCATTACTATTCTATCCCTTGGTGGGCTGGCCCCCGGGCTGGCTGGACACCCAGAGTAGGAATAGGAATATTTTTTTTGCTCAATTTGTTCAGTTTCTCTAAACATTCTTTGACCAACTTCGAATTGATGGTTACTGAGTTGATCGCAACTTAAGGCTGCTTGGCTATCGGATAAGATTTCTTCGGCCTATTTCTTTTTCCCGATAATTCATATCTAAAATAATTCTTATGATGCTAACTTAGTTAGCTAAGCAGTCGTCCAGTGTTGAAAATATAGTGTTTTGTCGTATAGCGGTGAACTAGTGTTTTAATTTGCTCTTGTAGCGCCAAAGCTTTCAAAAAATATCTATTATTTATCGCGGATGAAATCCATTTAGAGGAGGCGATGCAAAATCTCCTAATAATAATGATGTTAACATCTCTAAATTTTACGACTGATTATATATTGAATTATTAAAGAAACACGAAAGAGCCGAAAGTGGTAATTATGAACAAATTTATTGTTGGGCTTATTGTTATTTTTCTTTTATTTTCGCACTCCTTAGGTAGGTAAGACCAAGCACAAATCATTATAGATAAATGATAATTATTAGCTTGAGAAACATAAGGCGTTTCAGAACATGTTTTGACAAATAATATACTATTAATTTTCTTTATTAACTGGCAAATTCTATTTTATCTTCAAGTTCTTCTTAAAATATTATTTTTAAACTTTTTACTATATATTCATTCTTCATTTTAGCTGTATTTTACTGTTTTAACCGACCCTGTCCAGCAAACACCCAAGACTGTGACAGAGATTTTGAAATACTAAATTTAACTGCAGCAGAAATAAGGATTCATTGTCTGAATGATGCAGGTATTGTACAATACGATCGAAAAAAAAGGCGTCGAAGACGGCTGGGGAATGACAACGAATGATGATTTTGGCGAGGTCAAGCCACGGACGTCCATTTACGTAGCCCGTACTCTTCTTTATTTTTTAATACATCAGAAGGTTGTAATTTACTTTTATGTTGAGTAAAAATGATTTTTAAATGATGTAGTTTAAAATTCGAGAAAAAATATTTTTGTGTCTGGATACGTTTTTAATATTTCTATTATTAGTGCTAATTTTTGACAAGTTTTATGTCAATTTCTAGTTACTGACTTCTAGGGCTTGACCTCGCCAAAATTATCCTTGATTGTCAATCTTTGACGCGGTTATACGGTATTTATAATAAGGGAGCCCAATCAGGCTAAATGGGGATTTACTCGAGCGTCGTAAATAGTTTTGTGTTGTGAAAATTAAATGCCAAAAAAAAGAAGAGCTTGTACAGATTTTCAAAAATGTTAAAAAAAAGTAACAAAGAAATACTTGGGCGTTTCAAATATTAAATAGTGCAGCGTGTTTCTGATAACGGAGGGATATTAATCTCCCGGTTTGCATAATAGGGATAACGGTACGAAGGAATAGAAAATGAGAAGAGAAAAAATGTATTCGAGTGGCGTCAGATATTCAAAAGTAAACACTAAAGAAGCGCCTGTTCAAAAACTGACTATTTGGACGCGACCAAAACTTACAGCACAACAGATTTTTTAAAAATTCATAATTCTGAGCGTCCCACTATTGATAATATTTTAGCTAGTTCGACTTGTGGAAATCGACATATGAATGATTTTTTGGTAAATCAGGTTTTTCAGGTAAATTTTTTGCAACTTTATGATTCTACCATTTTCCATGCCACAACAATTTAAGTCAGATTATTAAAATGCACATTTTTCTGCAGGTAACGCGGTGCAAGATTTCTCCCCTTATGTTAATCTGCCGCGCTTGAGTAAATCCCCAAATCCCCGCTTCGACTCCCCTAATATAAATAACAGAATAACTATGTGGGGGACGCAGAAATTCTTGTAAATGATCCTAAGTCGACTGGCTGTCTAATAAATAGGCTGTGATCTATAAAAAAAACGTCTTACTTTTCATCCTTAAAATTAAATGTATTGCAAAAAGTTAAATTAAAATTGTTATTAAAAATATTTGCACTTTTTTGCATATTTTTAAATTATAAAAGTTCTTTTTACTCTGGTAACCACTGAAGTATCAAATTACCACAGCTAAAAACTATTGTTCTACGATGTCTTATTTGTTGTACATTTTACTTGTTACACTGTATAAATATTCATAAAGCTCTATACATTCATCTTATTTATATGTAAAATTATGTGCATCCATCTATTTTGTATTGTATATTCTTAAAAATTTCTTTTTACATGAAGCTTATTGACATGCAGCTGTTCAATAGAATTTTCGAACTTTTAAGATAGACATCTCCCGATTATAATAACAATGGGAGTATGCTTGTAATTTGAGCTTGTAGATGCCTTATATACAGTGTGTTTCTTAAATAACTACAAATCCTATTTTGCAGGAGAAAAACTACATACTCATGTCTTGAAAAAGTTCATAAAATTAATTAAATTAGACGATGCCATAAAGAAAGAAGACAACAATAATGATGAAGACCATCAAATTTAACATTAAATATTACATTATCAATAATAAATTTAGTTTTTAAATAATAATATAGTTCTTTTTTATGTATATTGGCGGGCATCCATAAATTATGTGAAGCGTTTTTGAGTAAAAAATTTGATCCCCTCCCTCCCTTGATTCTTTCAATGGACGCCCTCTTATCTCAAGTAAACCTTGTTCTATATTCTTTAAAATTAACTGTTACAAGTTCATAAAAATAAGCAATCAGTAATAATTAGGTACATCTTTATCAAAAAAGATATTAAAATCATTCTTATTAATGTATATCTGAACAGATTTAACCCTATGACACTTTTAATCGCTTATTTGTAACGAGTTCTTGGAATGTTTGCCAATCGTACTACTATACAGGGGATTTCTGGATGAATCTGTATTTATTGTTGTTAGAGATATTCTTCACATATTACACATATTATATTTTTTATAATTAAAAATAGATAATAAGAACATCATCGTTTTATTTGTCATCATAATAATGTTTTTAATTGAATTTAATAATACTGATATCATTATAAAGAAATTGAAAATATATTTTGGGACACCCTGTATACCTAAATATTTATAACAGCTTGATGTCGAAACGACAATTATCAGTAATACACGAGAGAAATAAACTTCTAAAGCTTCACTAATTCAGGCATTTTTATTTTTTCTGGAAAATTTAACGGTGAGCCTGTACAAAAAATTAGAAAAATGTTTAAAAAAAAATACGTTGTTAATATTACTGATTGCTTTTGGACTTGTGGCGTTGTCACAGGAATACGGTAAGTAATAAAAATAATTGTTTTTAGAATTAAGGGGAATCAATTTTTTTTCAAAAACTATATATATATATATATATATTATATATATATATATATATATATATATATATATATATATATATATATATATATATATATATATATATATATATATATATATATATATATATATATATATATATATATATATATATATATAGTATTAGTATCATTTGTCGCCACTTTGATTAGTTATTGCTGAAGTGAATGATCATGCAATCCAAATAAATTTTATTTTACCGTTAAGCTTCATCCGAAACCACAAAATTAGTGGAATAAGTTAGTGGTTTCAATTATACCTTAAGTTTGTTCTTCTAATTTCAATGTAGCCATTTAGAATGTTAAAATTATAGTGGTAGTACCCTCTATAAAACCGTCACAGATACTGGCTTTTGTCAAAGCCCTGGGACTGTATGATGAGTTATGATTCAAGAAAGGGGGACACAATGGATCTGTAAGGTCGAAGTGATTAACCCCCCTCCCACTCATTCTAAATTCTAAATTCTAATGGTAGTAATTTTCAATTAGTAGAAAAAGTTAACAAATCTTGAACTTGCTTTAACTGCCCCTAATTATACTTCAAAATTTGCGACTAATGTCATTTTGGCCTTTAATTTAATACGTCAAAAGAAATTGTGGTTAGAAATTTTTTTTTTTGTTGAAACCACTAATTCCAATAATTTCGTTCTGAATGAAGGTTTTTTGATTCAGGTTTCTAATAATTGTTTGAATTTTTCTTCGCATAATATTGAAAATGGTACTAATCCCGTATGATCGAAAAAACGGTGTTAAATACGGCTGGGGAGTGAAAATCGGTGATAATTTTGGCTCTAGACCTCTTTTACTAAAAACTGACATAAATCATATCAAAAATGAACAATAATTATAGAAAATTAAAAAAGAATATAACATTTCTAGACACACAAATATATTTCCCAAATATATTTTTTCGCGATTAAAATTCGCGAAGAAATATTTTTACATCACTTAAAAATAAATTTTTTACACAATATAAAAATAAAATACAACCACCTTAAGGCCAACTAGCAGTGAGTACCATTAAAATATAAAGAAGAGTACGGGCCAAGTAAATGACATCTATAGTGCCTGACCTCGCCAAAATCATCATCGATAGTCATTTCCCAGCAGTCTTCGACGCCGTTTTTTTATCGATCGTATGGTATAAATAATTTTTTGTGAGTTCTGTGATTTCTTCAGCATTTTAGTGTATATATAATTAAATGTGGAAGTAATGATCGAATATTTTTTATATAATATAGAAAATAAAATAATAACATTTAGATGCCCTCGTAATTTTTAGTACCTCCACCTACTTGTTTTGGTCAAGCGTGCCCTTCAAGCACCACCAATTGCAAGCAAGACAAAAAATCAAGCAGCGACAAAAGACGTATTGAAGTCACTATATCGTGTTTAGATGACTATGGTAAGGTTACTAAAAAGGAACAGATTTAATTCACATTTTTAATTCATAAGAAGTCTAGGAAATCTTAAAATACAGCTGAATCTATTTTTTATACTTTTTTTCAGATTCAACGCTCAAAGATTATTACTTTGAGGAACCCAGTAATTTTGATCCTCATACCAACTACCATAACACCAAGTACGAGTCTGTAAATGAGGGTTATTCTAGCCCTCAGAGAGCCCAACGTCTAGATTTGACACCCTACCATGGAAGACTAGTAGATTTCTTTTAAAAAAATTCCACCCACTAACTGAAAATGTGTGTCGAATGATAAAATACCAGATGCATTGTAAATTAATTATTTATTAAATAAACTGTTTAAATGTTTTAATAGCTTTGGTTTTTGGATTCTTCTACCCATGTACGAAAAAGAATTAAGAAACACTGAAGTCATTCACGACGTCAGTGATGGCGAACCTATATGCAAGATTTTTAACTGACTCACGATTGCTAGGCAACTATTTGTTTGTTTGCGCGGATTTATTTAGATATTCTAATTTGTGTGGATAATTTATTTTCTATTTGTATTTTTTAAAGCACTGCATTAACACATAATCATTTTTTTTTCTGAGATTTACGCCCAACGTTGGGCACCAAATATATTTTTATGTTATTCTACCTCATACACAACTTAGTTAATATCCTCTGGATACAGTTGTCTTTCGCCCTCGTTCAAAAAAATTCCCATGGTCCTGAATAACAAATAGACAATTAACATTCTTTCTGTCTGTTCATCCAAGTAGCGCCAACAATCTAAGGCGCCAACACAGTAAAATGTTCCACCTTTTGCATTGGTCAAGTTCTCCAAACACACAGCAATCATGTAAAAGCAGTTCCTCTTGTATAAGCTTCTACTGGAATAATGTTTATAAAAACGTTTAAACATATCACACCACCCTCCATCGTTCCAAACATCGATAATTTTCTTCAGTTTTTACTTGAAGGAGACTCATGAGTCTTCCATATTTGGACGGCATCGTAAAGGTGCTGGTAAGGTCTGGACCTCTTACGTTTACCAACATAGAAAATTGCTGACAAAAACGCTTCCCACGTGTGACGCGAGAATCCAGAAGAAAGTAAGTGAACGAGCTCTTGTTCACTCCTTCACGCCATTTTGGCTTTGAAGGGTCTGATTTGCTGAATTGTGCACTAAGTTGGGCTTCCAGAATTTTGTAGTTTTCTAGGCTGACGCTCCATTCGGCCTTGCGCAATGTCTTTTCCAATTCCAAAAAGTAAACTCGTTTTTTTTCACTGCACTTGCTGGTTCCTTCCTCGCAGTGTGGGGGGTGCTTTTTCAACTGGTACAGTTTCTTAAGATTGACTTAGATGTATTAACTTAATATGTATTAACTGTCTGAAACAACCTGGAATAAGAAACTATACTTGTCGTATGTAAAATTTTATATTCTTTTAAGATATATCTTAGTTTGATCTGGAATGTTATTAGTTTGAGGAGTTCTCGGTAGAGTCCTAAGGAGTCCTATTTCGGGTGATTCTTGTCTAAAGTTAATTATACAATACAAGTTTTCCTATTTACTGTTAAAATAATATTAATAGCTGCGTGGAAGCTAAATTTTAGAGAAATATAAAAAATTGTATACCTAAACATTTTGAATATGTAAAGCACTCCCATGAAAAATATTGAAAAGTTTAAATGCACTCTGAGTGATATAATTACAATTTTATATATTTTTTAAAATAATCGTCTGATAATGATTACATTACGTTAAATTTAAATTAAAACAACTTAGTATATTATTTAATGTTTAAAATTTGTTTTAGTACATCATACAATTACTTGTTTTGAAAGAGAATGTCCTGATAGTACTAGTAGCTGTAAAAAGCAAAGCAAATCCACCATAGACAGGAAAAGAATAGATCACAAAATATCATGTTTAGATAAATTGGGTAAGAATCCAATTCTCCATGTCTAACTTAAATGATTTTTTTTTTATTTTTAAGGAGCAAGTTTAAAGGAATATTATTTCGAAGAGCCCAGCACATTAGATAAACACACTTTTTTCCAGAGTACAAGTTATGGAACCGTAAAACTAATAAATAATCTTGAAAAATAAAACAATTATTATTATAAAGAATAATATTCTAAATATATAATAACATAACACTATTTAAATATATTATGTACAAACTTATTTTCTAACTTTATACTGTATTTCTGGTTGCATACTTTTAGGGAAAAATATGGGAATAATATAATATTTCTCTGTGGTAAACACCCATAGAGGAATAAAAAAAGTAACAATTTCAGTTTTTAAAATAGTAGAAAGTTTATAAAATTATAAAAGCATTAAATTTGCCCCCGAATAACGCACTCTTTTTATCATGAAAATTAAATAGTTATTTTTAAATAATACCAATTTTCCAATTTATTCAAACGTTTCAAAGGACCAATGCGCCAAACGTCAAACAGAGAAACAATAAATAAATATGTCAATGTCAACCTTGAATAAGTTTAAAGAACAGTGGATTTTCTACATTTTTAAATTTAAAAATTTAATTACTTTTACTAAATAACATGTTTTCCGTCGGTTAATGTGCGTTTTATTGAACCTAGGCAAATAATAGGAATAGTAACTAGGAGAAATTAAGCTTGCATTGTTGGATTATTGTGAAAATATAACCTATTAAAATGGAATATTTAAGGTAGGTAGAAATTAATTAATAACAACAATTCTAGTTGTTAAAATTTAATTGTTTTGTTACGGATATATTCCATATTGATTACTGTATAGATGTTCAAGGTTAACATGATATTGTTAATCCATTAAATATATTTTTTTTGATGTCATTGTTGTTAATATATTTATATTTTATTTCATCAGGCTCTATATGGTGACATACAATGTAGGTACAAATGATCCAGAACAAAGACTTATGGATTTCTTATCGTTATCAAATCAGAAAAACGAGAAGTTACCTGATTTTTATGTTGTTTCTTTACAAGAAGTCAAAGCCCAGCCTCAAACTATGCTTCTCGATGCTTTGTTTAGTGTATGATCTACCTATTTTATGTTTTACAGTTTTTATGTATGTTTTTTGTTTATTTACAGGATTCTTGGACAGCAGCATTGACTGAAATTTTACAGAATAAAGGATATGTTAAACTAAAATCCATTAGATTGCAAGGTTTGTTGCTTTTGGTGTTTTCTTTGAGAAGACATTTGCTAAACATTAGAGAAATAGAATCAGAGTATACTAGAACCGGATTTGCTGGTATATGGGTAGGTCTATACAATATATTTATTTGATCTCTAGTTAACTATGTTAGTGTGTTGTATGTATATATCTCAGTATATAATATTTCTTAGGGAAATAAAGGTGCTGTTAGTGTTAGACTTAGTATATACGGCTGCTCATTGTGTTTTGTAAATGCTCACTTATGTGCGCATGATAACCAATTAAAAGAAAGAATTAATGACTACAATAGCATCATAAAAGATCAAGATTTTCATGTTCCCGAGACCAGGAAAATATTTTTCCATGAGTAAGCCCTAGAGATACTTTAAATTCTTTAATTGAAGTACTTTTTATTATATTTAGCTATGTTTTTTGGATGGGTGATCTCAATTTTCGATTGGTTGAAGACTATGATAGAACTCCTGAGGAAATAACAAGAAGTATCTTGAAGAAAGACCTTAAAAAGTTGTTTGAGAATGATCAGTTGCGATATGTGATGAGAAAAGGTGATGCTTTTAGTGAATTTACAGAGAAAGATCCTGAATTTCCTCCGACTTATAAGTTTGATGTTGGGACGAATGATTATGATTGCAAGTAAGGTAAAAAAAAGTTAAAAATGTGATAATTACTAAAGTGTTTGATATAGGAGGAGGCCTGCATGGTGCGACAGAATATTGTATTGTGTAAATCCAGATAACTATGAAAATGTGACACTAAAAGTTGAACAGTTGTCCTATAAATATCACCCTTACTACACACTTAGTGATCACAAGCCTGTCAGTGCAGAATTCTTGGTAAAGGTATGTATTTTGGTGTGTTTTACCTATTACTGATACATGCTATTACTAACATAGAATTATTACTGTTTCTGCAAAAATTTATGTTTCTATATAACACAAAAAAATGTATATATTAACAATAAACAGATCCATCTATGCAATATACTAAAATATTTTTTAAATGTAAAAAAAATGTTTACACTTAAAAATACTTTCTTGTTTTTTTACTCGCCCATCTCTGCCTAAAATACAATATGATCGAAAAAAAACGGCGTTAGTGATGGCTTTGAAATGAAAATTGTTGACATTTTATATGTAAAATTATATGGGGAATGTGGTGATTGTCATTTCCAAGCCAACTGGATGCTGATTTTTTTTTTCAATCCGACGGTATAAATTCTTTAAAGATCCATGTATATCTACTAAAGTGTCTCAACATCTAGTATATGTGACTCAAATTTTTTAAGAGATCTTAAAAACGTTTATGACCGTTTTAAACTGTGGATTTTAGGAACTATAACATTGTCATCAGTAATTTTGAAGAGTCAAGTATTTTTCTGTTTATTAAACTGTACCTAGTATGATTTTATGGTCTTAAGTTTAAGTCTTATTGATTTTTATGACTTTTCCACAGAATTTCAACAAAATTATAAAAAATCTGTTTTAAAATTCATTAGCTATTGCTGAAATTCTAGCTTTTGCTATGTATCTTCTGAATACTAACCTATTGACATTGTTAAAAAATTATATATACCCTTGATGAATAATATTACTAGACTAGTTTTTTTTTGTAAATTATGTTTATAGATTTCCTGTTTTTTTTCTACAGAACTTAAAGAATTTTTATCGTGCAAAGCAGAAAGCAATTTCCAACTTTCTGATTTTAAATAGGTACCCCCATTTTTTATTACATATTTGAATTATCTATATAATTTTATTCATTTTTATATGAAACACTCCATACATAACATTAAATGTTTTTGAGAAAAAAAAATTTAAAATTTTTGGAGGAAAAAATTGCGTGTCATAAAAAATTCTATAGCCTAAACGTCACTGTGATATAAAGAGTAGACGTGACAATCTATTTCAAAATGGAAACCTACTTTTTTATTTCACCAGTGAAAAAGTTTTTTTATTTGTTATTTTTTCATTATACCTGCTCCTTTACCTATTGTAAATCGTTTTTAAGTTATTAAAGATTTAGTTTTAAAGCGTTTTGAAAATATATATATACAGGGTGCTACAAATTCGAGGTACGAGCATTGGTATCTCGGTAACCGTAATAGATACAAATATGGTTAAATTGGGGCAAAGTTGCGCTTTGGGATGTTGACCAAGATGCCATCAAAAAAGTTTTAAAAATTTCAAGGATTGCTGAGTTTTTTGGAAAAACCGGAATTTTTTGAAAGTTAATTTTATTTTTTCCTGTCGTTACTTTTAAGAAAATCAAAAAACTACTCTGGCACATTCTCATAGCCACTTTATTAGGGCTATCTGATAGTATTTTTAGATTTTCAAATTACTTGATAATTCGTGAGATACAGAGCCTACTTAATTTTTTTAAATACGGACCTGCGTTTTTTATTTCAGCTTTTGAAAGATCGGTCTCCTGAATATAATGATATGCCACACTTTATACTTTTTTTTCGTTTTGGGTACCTTAACAGCAACAAAACTATTTAATTATTATTATTTAAAATAATTTCAAGTCCGACTCTGGTTTCTTAAATTATTTGATCTGATTACATTCATCGCAACAATATTGATCAGCGCTAATTAACATTGAATAAGGAAAATCGAGCCAAATGGAAGATTCAAATAAATAATATCCAGGTCAGAAATTTAAAAATATTATTTTTAACTTTTTTTATTGTGAATTTGAAATCTCAGTGTGCGATCTAATAATATGCATAATATTAATCGTAGGTATTCAACTTCTACAAACTAGTTTCTAATGTTCTACATGTTCAAAAGGGTTACCACCCTCTCCCTATTGCACAATTTTTTTTTTCGTTCAATTTTATTTATAGCTCTTTGAACTTTCTTCTTATACTTCCGAATGCATTTTGTACTCTTTATTGTAAATGTTGAGATGAATTGATTTTACACTTTTACAAATGACGTCAAGTAATGTAGCCCCTTGGTCCAGGACTTCAGTGGACTCGCTGCACATTTTACTGCTCTACCATTTCCGATCCATCTAACGGGAAATTGATTTGATTGTTTATATTATATTATATTTATATTAATTATTTTATTGCATTTGATTTTCCGTATTCAATGTTTTATCCCACATCATTGTTAAGTTTGAAAGCTTATCAATATTGTAACGATGGATAGATTAAATATTTTAAATATAACATAGCCGGACTTGAAATTAGTTTATATAAATTGTGTTTAAATGTCAAAACAAAAATAAGTGTGGCATATCATTGTACTCAGGAGACCGAGTTCTTTCAAAATCTGAAATAAAAATGCAGGTCCGTATTTAAAAAAATTAAGTTGGCCTCTGTATCTCCAAAATTATCAGCTAATTTGAAAATCTAAAAATACTATCAGATAGCCCTAATAAAGTGGCTAGGAGAATGTGCAATTAATTTTTTGATTTTTTAAAAAGTAACGAGAGGAAAAAATCAAATTTATTTTCAAAAAAATCCGTTTTTTCCAAAAAACTCAGCAATCCTTGAAATTTTTAAAACTTTTGACGGCATCTTGGTGAACATCCTAAGGCGCAACTTTGCCCCAATTTAACTATCTTCGTATCTATTACGGTTTCCGAGATACTTATGCTCGTACCTCGAATTTGTAGCACCTTGTATATATCATGTGATATGTTTTTTTATAAATATCATATTTTTGAACCCTGCTTAATTTACAGACCTCATTTTTTCTGTATCTCTATAAAAGAAATATTCACCTCACTTAGACTAAAAATTTGAGAAACCCTATATTATATTGATAAATTATCTTTGGGTATATATAATTTGTTTTCTTTAGCTTTTCCATGTTTCTACAGCTCTTTTAATAACCTTTGCGAAAGCTATATTAAACAAGGTGTTTGGAGAAGGTTACACAACGTAATAAATTGCTTAATCTGCTGAAAAACTTATTTTTTAAGAATTTCACAAAGTCATGGTAAGAAAAATATAAATTTACGCATTTTGATCTTCAATAAAAAATATATTCGATATTATCTGACAAACGGATCTAAAACAGCGGAAGGAATGCCAGCAAAAAAATCGATGCTGTCATGTTTAATAATAAAAAAGCAAAATTGCTGGATATTACCTATAAATTGAATATATTTTAGTTAATTTTAGCATACATAATTTACATCCTAAGTATCTTAAAGTAGTTCTTATTGTTAGATGTATATTGATCTAATTAACTGATTTCATTCATTCTGCCTATTACAAAAGATAAATATTTTCTAAAGATATCGTCCGGCAACGCTGACAAAATTCATCATGGCTCCCCGAATTCATTAGCTGCCCATACATACAGTAAAGACTACACCATACAGGGCCCGGCAATAGTGCGTCGGGCATCTGTAGCTCCTAGAATAAAAAACTTAGGAGTTTTGTTCAAGTGCAAACCTAAAGTATGTACTAGGATGTATTTCAGGAGAATATTTTAACTTCTATAGGGTGGCTCAAAAAAGCGTGAGTGGATCGGGATGATTTTTTTTAAACGGAACACCCTGTATATTATTGCATTTTTGGTTTCATTTCAGATCACTTTACATAATCCTAAGATATGATTAAATATTTTTCGATAGTTTCAGAGATATTATTAATAAATAAATAAAAAATATATATTTTTTAGCCTTTCTTAAAAAAAATATTAAAAAATACAAGAATTGTCTTGAAATCAAAACTATATTAGGAATTTACTTTAGATGGTCTGCACTTACTTTGCTATAAATATGGTAATGGTAAATCATACAGGATGTTCAAAATTGTATGCCAAAGCGCTAAAATATAAAATAATTTTTCTTCGTTTTTTTAAATGGAACACCCTGTATATTATTTTTCCAGTAGATGGAGAATTAAAAAATGAATATTTTTTGTATTTAAAGTATTTCAAAATTTTTAATGGTTTTGCAGATACACGCAGTATTATTTTATAGGCTTTGATAAAAATTTACTGTGGAAAATGCCATATGAAATATAAAACCGCGAATATCTGCGAAACAGTTAAAAATTTTGAAATACTTTAGATACAAAAAATGTTCATTTTTTAATTCTCCATCTATCGAAAAAATAATATACAGGGTGTTTCATTTAAAAAAAACAAAGACAAATTATTTTATATTTTACTAAGTTTGTCATAGAATTTTAAACAGCCTGTATGATTTACGATTACCATATTTATAGCAAAGTAAGTGCAGACCATCTATAGTAATTACCTAATATAGTTTTGATTTCAGGACAGTATTTGTATTTTTAATAATTTTTTAAAGAAAGGCCGAATAAGAATTGGATTTTAGTGTTTCTTTTTTTAAATGAATCCTATTTATAACGTTATTCATAATCATCAACATAGGTGAGAAAATTTATTTTTGTATTTAAACAAAATTATTAACCTCATGTATATAGCCTCACCTTCCAATATACTCACGAGCCGCCACAGTGGCTTTGTTATTATATTTTATTTTAAGCCTTTTGTCTTGATATGGTTTTAACAAACATTAAGCAAATCAGTAAGCAGAATGTAGATACATTTAAAGTAAAATAATATAAAGTTTACTGGAAAATATTATAAAAATTCTTGATATGTTTTCATAAAGCACCTCACGCTCCTGAACATTTTATGAATGAAATCGGCCGAATCTCCTTACCGTTGCCCCGTTGTTTCAAATCCATTTGTCAAACTGTATTTGTAAATATATTTTTTTCTTTTCTGTGTAATATTTTTATGTTGTCTACTAATCATTATGGTCTGCTTCAAATAAAATTTATGCTTTCTCATTGGAATTTAAACCAAATTATAATAATTATCAAACAAAAAATATCCAGATACCTCCACGGGTTACTAAAAGAGCCAGAAGATATGTTGAAACGGACCGAATCCAAACTGACGCTTATGTCTCTGACCAGGTGTTTTCAGATTATTCTGAGCACGTGGTTCAGTTCGACAAGATACCCAGGTGGGAGGAGGGGCAGGACAACAAGGCTTACTATAAAGTTACCAAGGACATACCAGCCACCAAGGACGACTGGATTGGCTTGTTTAAAGTAATTATTAGTTATTTAATATGATTTTTAAGAATTCTGTAGTCCAGTGATGGCGAACCTTTTTGAGACGTGGATCAAATTTTGTCCATATTTTTTTAGTACTAGCTCGAGGGTCACTAATGCCCATTTGCACCAGAGTTAATATCAAAAGAAATTGAGTATTTTTAAAACTACCCATCTTTAAAATTTCTTCTTCTTCGGGTTCCATCTCCTAATGGAGGTTGGAAATCATCATGGCAATTCTAACTTTGTTAACGGCTGCTCTGAATAACTGGTTTGAAGTCATTCCAAACCATTCTCTCAAATTCTTGAGCCATGATGTTCTTCTTCTTCCTTGGCTCCTTCTGCCCTTTATCTTTCCTTCTATTATGTTCTGCAGTAGGGCATATTTAGGTCCTCTCATTAAGTGTCCAAAGTACTCAAGTTTTCTTTTTTTAAGGGTGTTAATCACTTCTTCATCCTTCTGAATTCTGCGTCGCAGTTCTACATTTGTAACCTTGTCAGTCCATGCAATCCTCAGCATACGCCGATAACACCATCTTTCGAATGCCTCAAGCTTCTCATTTCGGCCTTTTTTAAGTGTCCAAGCCTCTGAACCATAGAGTAGAGTTGCAAATATGTAACCCCTTAGCATTCTTAATCTAAGCTTTAAGTTGATGTCTCCACTGCAGAGACATTTTTTGAGTTTTACAAAGGCTGCTCTGGCTATTTCTATTCGAGCTTTTATTTCTGCTGATTAATCCAAGTTTTCGGTCAACCAACTGCCTAGATATTTATATTTTTGTACTCTCTCTCCATAGGTGTATATTATCTATTAGAACATTGGCTTGGATATCTCTCTTAGTGGTTATCATAAATTTAATTTTCTTAGCGTTCATTTTCAGGCCATATACTCTACACGTGTTGTTTAGTCTTTGTAGAAGTGTTTGCAGACCCTCCACGTTGTCTGCTATAAGGACGGTATCGTCTGCGAACCGCATATTATTTAAGACCTGCCCATTAATAGTAATGCCCTCCTTTCTACTAGTCAAGGTCTCCCGAAAAATTGATTCGCTATATATATATATATATATATATATTAAACAATAGCGGAGAAAGTATACATCCTTGACGAACGCCGCTCAGAATCTTTACTTCATCAGAAAGTTGGTCGTCCACCATAAGCTTCGCTGTTTGCCCCCAATAAAGATTTGCTATTATCCTGATATCTCGGCTATCGATATTCATGCCTTTAAGTATTTCAATTAGTCTATGGTGTTGAACTTTATCGAAAGCCTTCTCAAAATCTATAAAACACACATACAGGTCCTGATTCATATCAATATACCTCTGTGCTAACACATTTATGCTAAACAGAGCCTCTCTCGTACCCATGCCTCTTCTAAACCCTACTTGGTTATAACTGATTTCTGAGTCCCTTAAAATTTAGTGGTGGGCAAGACCTTCATTTTTACATAACAGTTGAAACTGTTACTGTTATTTATATAGAACAGCTTAAAATAACAGGTTTCTGTTATTTTTTATTAATGTTAAACATCTAAAATAGCATACACATTGTCCAAATTGTAGTAAAATCCTAAAAATCTTCATATTTATTTCTTAATAAAAAATAATGTACTTAAAATATAAAATTTATAAACAAATCAAGCTCTGTTTTAATTTTTAGAATATGTTTATTATATTGTTAATAATTAAGAAAATAATTATTAAAAAAATCAGTATTACTTATATTAAAAAAATAATTAACTTAGACAGTCAATTTTCTTTAATTCAGTTATAATTAATAATTATTTTTTACCCATGCATTATTGATGCCAAAAATACCCAGAAATACGACAAAATAAAACCACTTTCAAACTATTGAAATAAATTCAGACTGTCGATATGTTTTAGAAAACGCAAAATACCCTTTGTATTGTATTTGACTAAGAGTGGGTCCCATAGGGGACCCTCCACTGAGGCCGCGAGGGCCTATTGTGGCTCAGTTTCTACAAGCTCTAATTTACAAGAGCGTCAAAGTTCATCCTCAAGACCCAGCCTCTTAATATAAGCCGTTATGTCTGAGGGGGATATGTCTCCTAGGTCTGATAGGTCTAGCATGGGTGCCAAACATCTCAAACCTGGTCCTGCTCCCAGCGGGGCAGGTACACATAACGTGCTTCATTGTTTCATCATCTTCCATACAGTCGGCATTCGGCGTCTTCCACCAGTCCCGTCCTCTGTAGGTGAGATCTCAGCCGGCAATGGCCCGTGTACACTGCAGTGAGCACACGCGTTCCATTCCTACCGGCCTTTAGGAGTTCTCCTGTTCTATGTTTGGATGGCCCTGCTAGGATTTTCTTGGCATGTTCCATTCCGGGACTGTCATTCCAGTCCCAGAACGTCTCACTCCTAACCCATTCACAGAGCCTGTCTCTTGCGAGATTTTTAGGAACGCTAAGTGTCGGTTCTGGGCCCACGAATGGCGAGCCTGCACCAATTTTGGCGAGGGAATCAGCACGTTCATTTCCCTCTAGGCCGACATGTCCCGGTATCCATATTAGCGACACTTTGTTCCTATCTCCCAGTATATTGAGTAGTTTCTTACAATGAAGAATCGTCATAGACGTGCTTTTCGTTGCCTCAAGTGCTTTCAGCGCAGCTTGACTATCCGAAAATATACATATTGTTTTCCCGGTGTATTGCTGTTCTACCAGCAGTTGCACACAGGTTTCAATAGCATATAGCTCAGCTTGGAAGATCGTGGTGTGTTTCCCAAGACTGTGGTAGATCTCAGTCTTTGGACTGCTGCAGTAAATTTCTGCGCCAGATCCTTTTTCGTTTTTGGATCCGTCCGTGTACCAACACATTTCCGCATGTAATAAGCCGTTTCCCGGCTTATCCCACTCGTCCCTATTCGGAAACAGGACGTTGTAGGTGCGCGTCAAGAATTGGACTGGTGGTGTAAGATCCGAGATCATTCCCATAATCTCATCCGAAAATACCCTTTAGTTATATTTTTGCAAATATATATATTAAAAATTAAATAATTCAATTGTAACGCCACCATATACCACGATTGACCCACACAGGCGAAAAAGCTATTCTTTTCCAAATCCGCTTTGCTCGCAATGCTCGAAAAAAATGTAGATAGAATATTAATTATCCACACAAATTAAAAAATGTAAATAAACCCGCGAAACAAGCAAATGGTCGCCTAGCAATCGTCAGTGTCTGACCTACCGGTCATAGGTTCGCCATCACTGCTATGGTCTATCCAACGGGCCAGGGAATATTTCAACAGACGACGTACAAAAAATAATAGAAAATACAATTTACCTGCGAATTATAATGACAAATACAACCTATGGATACAACTGTCACTGTCAGGAATCTTCCCGTTGAACAGACTATACAGCATGACGGGATACAGTGAATATGTTGCTAAGAAAGTAAAAGATAATCTTAAAAAAGATTTATTATTTCATACCGAGTGCGTCTCAAAAATGTCTCACCCCTATAACTTTTTTATTTTTTCAGATAAAAAAACGAGATTTGGTTATGTTAGTATTTGACACAAATTAGGATTGATTGACGTATTCAGTTGTTTTTGGTCACTTCCTGTTTCACCGCAAATGACTATAACTTTTGATTTTTAAATGTCACCCTCGGTTTATTTCTACTTTATATTCGATTAGACATTAGAAAATGATACTCTGAGTAGAATGACATATCATATATCAACTTGACATTTTTGTTTAAAAAAATTGTATTTAAAATGTCAATCTAGAGTGTCATGGCCGCGTTAAAAACACTAATTTTTAGTCAAGGAACCTTGGAAAAATAGATTTGATCGTCTAATGTTTTTCGTGTCTTATTCTGGCCGGCTAAAAGATGGCTAAATCGTATTTTTAATCATATCTCAATGTTTTCAAATGGAAGAAGGGTGGCTCAGTATATTTGGAAAAGCATTCTTTTGCGAATAATTTGATACCACACACTTGGTATTTCGTGTCAAATTGTCGTTATGAACCGCATGTTACAATTTCAAATAAACCATGTTTGAAAATGTCATAAGTTGACATATGATACGTCATTCTATTCAGAGTGTCATTTTCTACCGAATAAAGTAAAAATATGTTGAGGGTGTCATTTAAAAATCAAAAGTTATAGTCATTTCCAGTTAGACAGGAAGTGAAAAAAAACAATTGAATACGTCAATTAGTCCTAATTTATGGCATATACTAACATACCAATTCTCGTTTTCTTATCTGAAAAAATAAAAAAGTTATGGGGGTGAGCCACTTTCGAGACTCGCCCGGTATTTAAAAAATTGCTATATATTTCTCTTAAGTTTAGCCCAAATAAATATTTTCTGATGCTCATTCAGATTTCTTTATGTAAAAATTAGATAATGCATTCGTACTACTCTTGAAAGATGTGCTATTTTTGCCGCGTCCGTCGTCTGCATCCGTCATTAGTTGACTCAAAAGCTGGCCACTATAAAATTACCTGTCATTATTCAAAACATAGTTTATCATATAACTTTTTGATCATATTATATATTTGATTAAATATGGTTTATTTTTTTATCTTTTATATAGGAAAACTTCGCATCTCTGGATGACTACATCACTTACGAATATGTAAGCAAGTGCGTGTCACCCTCTGACGAATCTGGAGCATCCAGACCTCAAAAATACGAAGTTACCATTCCAGATATATCAAGTAGATGCAGGGGAAATTATTGCTTAGTCTACTTCAGTCAAACTGAAGATAAGGTAAGATATTTCTTAGTTTTTTTCTCTTTTTTTTGTAATTAATTTAATTTTGTTAGGTTATGAGCGTACTAGGAATCAGCGATCCTTTTCCCATAGTTAAAAATCAAGGGGATTGACTAAAGTCAGCTGTGTATCTACGTCCTTAAATGAACAACTATATCTATAACGCACTATATATAGTATCTTTATATTTATTGCACTAAAACCACTTTTTTGGTTTTTTTTTATATAGATTCTTATATATTTTCAATGAATTATCTAAGGGAGGTCGGGTACTCATTATGGAAGATAGAGGTAAGGAGTATCATGTCTTATGGGAATCTTTATTTGAAAAAGTGGTCACCTAAAAGGAGAAAATAAGGATTCACTACATAACCACAGTGGCTCTAATAATCCGGGATTGAACAACTGAAAATAGCGGTTATAAATAATGTGAAGTTAGTCAAAAAAGAATGGCAACACGCGCCTTAAGAAATCGCACATTTATCTATCTCCTTTTAATTACTTCCTGTTCTAAAAATGTTTTGCGCTTCTTTCAAATGTAGAACTTTTGCTACAGCAACGCCATCTTAATTGCTATCTCTTTGATAATCACTTTTCAATACGCGAAGATAATTCTCCTTACCTTTACCCTCCATAGTACTGATGTTTTAAATTTTAAATATCTGGTATATTTATTTTTTAAATTACATACATACTACACAAAACTGTCCAAAATGATTGAAATAGTTGGCTATTCTGATTTTGCCCGTTTGGTTGGCAATTAATTTAAGATATTCGAATTTTTATCAGATATTGCCACTAGTGTCAAAAAAAGTAAATAATATGAGAGTCATTTTTTACTATTTAACTAGTTTTCCATAATAAATGAGACTATAATCAAAATGGGATGATAAATAACTGAGTTTAAGGTTTTCTAATTACTTTTTGAATTTGAACAATAAAAAATAGGTTAGGTTGGTATACCTGCTCATAAGAAATTTTGAGAATAAAAGGCATATTAAGGTTTCATAAACCGGATTTATTCCAAAAAGATGTTTGTTAGAGCGTATCCAATATACAATACGGGATATTTGGAAATAGTATTATAAAGTTCTACATAGTTTTTATCTTTAAAAGGCAAAATATTCGGGGTTGCCAACTCTCGAAATTGGATACCCGCTAGATTCGCATATAAAAACCGCTAGAATCCGCTAGAAACGATAAAACTGAAACTTTGGCGTATCACGTCACGTCACATCACGTCATCAGACGGATTTAATGTGACTTCGAAGATTCATGAAGGTGAATTAGGGTTTTGTTTTGCTGTTGTAATATCCCAGTTCCATAATCTTATCCCAGTTCTCATAATCGTAATCATGTTATTTACTTTTTGGTTTGTTTAGGTTAGGTTAGGTTAGCTTGTGATAACAGCTGATAAATATTCGAATTTTTCTTAAAATTGTTTTACTTAAAAACACACTTTCAAATACTAATTTCGAAGCAAACAATATTATCAGATACGATTTGAAAATGTCTCTCTAAAAGGAATAGATTAGAAAATGGTTAGAACGCGGTAAATCCACGAATCGCTGAAACCCGTTAAATCTTAAAAGATACTATTCAATATGATTCCTAAATATTTCGAATATACTTTTTACTGAACACATCCGTGTACAGCTTTTCTTATTTCTTTTGCCTTCATTGAATTTCTCTCGGTGTAGCTATAAACACGGCACATAAAGCAATCGGCACGACAACTCTGCTCAGATTCCATTGTTTAAAATTTCTATAAAATTTGACCTTGACGGCGCCATTATCGTTTCCAAGTCAGGGCCGAATTAAAACGTATCAAAAAGTTTCTCAGAAAATAAACTATTGATAGACAGGGTCGTATTAAAAAAATACTGTAATTGGCTGAAACTGAATTTTATTTACACAATACTTTTGTCCAAACAAATGAATCGTTAACCGCGCAACATGCAACTAACAAAAACATGCCAAGAGTTACAAACAAGAATTAAAGAAATACCAATAAAATATTTATTGAGCAATATAAAGAGGCTACGTACAAATTAGGCCCATCAATGAGCGTAGCAAATTTTATTAATATTCAAATTTCACAAATTAACAAATCCACAATTTTTTTTTGAGAAGCTTCTATTTTTTTCATGGCAGGAAACAAAGTAGGTACCGCATTGTATTTTATACGGTTACAAAGTGAATTGGTAAACATTTTAAATTCAAAATGAACAGAACACAACCTGCACCTTTTGTGGGCCTTATTTATATCTTCAATCAAGTCTTTTCTATTAGCTGCAATTGCCCATGTTCTTGCCCTAAAAATGTATTGTTAACTTATTTTCGATATACTCATTTTATAATTATATTTAAATTAATAATATAATGATTTTTAAATTTAATTTTTAGTGTCTAGATACAACATTAAATTTTACTAAATATTTAACATTAAATCTTACTAATATTAAAGTTTGTTAAGATTTTTAATTAGATCTTCCTATTTCGCTGAATGTCCTAATATGTATACTACTGTTTTTTTTTCACAACTAAAATATAAAATACCTAATAGGATCTCTAGGAAACAGAAAGAAACTTTTATTGAACAACAAAAATAAAACTACTAAAACAAATTATATTACATAAGAAACGAAAATAAAACTAGAAAAACCAAATATATCACATAATAAACAAAAATAAAACAAAACATATCACTCAAAAAAAATCAAAATAAATTAAGCCGCACGCTACTGACTCGAATCTGCCGTAACTGTGTGTTGTCGCTGAAAAAACTACCACGGACTACCACACTGATTACTTTCTGTTGATGGAAACGCAAATGGCGGCATGCGCGAGCATATGCGCGTAGCGTTCCCGCCAAAGCGAGTTAGCCTGCCGATTGTTTTATGTGCCGTGCTATAAACTTGTTATCTCTCACGTACGCCAATTTGAAGGTCACAACACTTCAATAGTGCCGACGGTTTTTGTCGCTTCTCTACGATTATTCTTCTCTGGTTGAACCCTATAGTTGTATTGAAAAATAGTAACTTTTTACATTGACAAACATGTTGATTTTATAAATAACAAAGTCAAAACTTGTAAAGTTTTCAAGAATATAAAGAAAAGCCGAAATACTCGACTTCAATGAATTGGCATAATTTGCTAAAACTTTTCGATCGATAATTTGTTTTAGCGTCAGTACCAATCGGTACTCCTAAAATCCTCTAACACAGTTGCCAACTATTTCAGTCATTATTGATCGCTCCGCGTATACCATTCCAGGATATAGATAAAGCAAGAATGTACTTAAAAGTACACAAGATTTATTTATGCTGATACAAGGTAATTTATACCCGTCAAATTTTTCATTTTTTGAGAGCCACTGACTTTATGATTATATTATCATTACCCATATCTCCCCTTTTTCAAATTACTTTAATGTTCTAGTCAGTTTTTTATGAATTACTAACTTATAATAAGAGGTTCATCTAGGATTATTATGAAAAAAAATGGTATCACTATGTATTATACCGTATGATCGAAAAAAAAAGGGCGTCAAAGACGGCTGAGAATGGCAATCGATGATAATTTAGGCGAGGTCAATCTCTAGACGTCATTTATTACAAATTGACATAAAACTTGTCAAAAATTAACAGTAATTATAGAAAAATTAAAAAAAGATAGAACGTTTCAAGACATAAAAATCTATTTCCAAAAAAGAAGAGTACGTGCCAATAAATGACGTCTAGGGCTTGACCTCGCTAAAATTATCATCGATCGTCATTCCCCAGGCGCCTTTGACGTCTTTTTTTTCGATCGTATGGTATAATTTTGTGACTAGAAAAATTTTTTTTTTTTTTTGAATATCTACAAAACATTTTTTAATAGTAACATCACAGGTACAAGTAAGGCCAGTTGAAATTTAACTAAAATAACATTTAAAAATAGTCTACGCTTATATTAAAAAACAACTATAACAAATATAATTTGTAGCAGATAAAGTGTAAAATGAATAGTACAAAAATAACCGTTTTGGTTAACTTGTAGAAGGAAATGTAGGTATGCAGCTTAAGTTTTATTTAATCTTAGTAATGTGTGATCAAAAATTTAAGAAAAAAACGTCCAATTTTCTTTGTTTACAATAACATTAAGTTTTATTTAAATCGTTTTCGTCTTAAAACATTCTTTTAATTCAGTATTATTATCCATGAAACGATATGTATAGTAATATTTTATTATGAATCTTTACATTATGTATTTAAAAATAATTCAGCTGGAGAAAGAATGAAATATGGTAGACAAACATTTATTTTTATTTTTTTATATAGCTATGATTATTATTATTACTGCTCTGCTAATACATAATAATAATCATTATTTCGAAAAATGATTCCTAGGATCGTAAAAAGATGGCGTCATAGAAGCCATTGAAATGACATGATTCAATTACTGAATAAAATGTTTCCAGACCAGCTGTTTAGACGCAAATCTATTCAGAAATGTGTGTCCGAATTCCTTTTTAACTTTTTCTAAATTATCATTTCAACAGATTTTTTGACGCCGTTTTTTTTTGTCGTAAGGTATTTTATTTAATGTGATCAAATAAAAATGTCTTAAAAAGTGTTTTTCCCCAGTGTAGCAGATCACTAGTTATTGTACACATAATATATATTTAATAGATATTTAAAAGTAATATTTTTATGTATCCTATAAAGAATATTTAAAAAGTTATAGAGTTCCTTTAATTTTTTTTTCTAATGTAAGGAAATGAAGGCCTTAAAATAATTAGCTTCTCTTTTCTTAGCTATGTTTTAACACTGGTGCCTTTAAGAGGTGTTAAGGCATAAACAATGCAGAAATATGTTTATTTCTTACTGAATTTATATAAACAATAAACATATCGATTTGGTCATTTTAGAAGTGTGATCTAGATTTTAACGTATAAGACAGAGAATACTATAAATGACCGGTTGACAGAGAGACGAAATCAAAAGCTGCATACAGTGTTGCCGGTTTTTACGTTTGTAGGAAAATTTGTGTAGAAAAAAATACTATTTTAAAAACTTTCATGTATACTACTGAAATGAAGTTAATATATCTAAGCTAAATATAGTCTATTACATCTGTAGTAAAATGAGTAACTAATTGTGAAAAATAAAGTTCCAACCCTAGATGCAACATTTTCCATAAACGCCTACTTGTGCGGTTTGGACTTTTGATGCAAAATCCGGCAATACCGCATAGAAGAAATGCATCAACCCAACTTTTATGTTTTTTTAATACATTTGATTTTCCATTAAGCTGCCTAATCACTGTCTTACACGTTAAAATGCAGACCACACGTCTGAAATGACCAAATCGGTATATTCCTCTTGGTTACGCTAACAATAAATAAAGTAACTCCCTTGGGACATTATTAACGAGAATTAAGATGCCATAGTTTCCTTTACCTTTTATAGGTAACAATCATAGAATCAGAAATACAATAGAGATCTTGAGTCTTGAGTAATAACACACAGATAACAGAGTAGATCTGTGGTAATAATATAAAATGAAACGCTACTACTCTAATAATTTATTTACATCATTAATGCCGTTTATAATAAATATACAAGAGAACAGTTTCATAAACATCCCTTACTACAATATTTTTCTGTCCTGGCCACTGAAGGTATTTTTTATATTCTTCTTGATAAATGGATTCACTTTTAGGTGGAAGTAACGCTTGTCGTGCTGCTTCAGCTTTTTTCAACTTTCCTCCATTTTAATCTGCGTTTTTTTCTGACAAAAAACTGAACTCGATTAACAACAACCCTCAATTTATAAATAGGCCATTTACTAATCAGTAATCTGGCAGCAAACAAAGTTCTTATCAGCAGCGTTAATACAATTATACTGGAAGATTAATAATATATATAATAAATGCAATACTATTTTTGTGTCGTTTTAAAATAGGACAAAATATACTAAATTCAGTAAGAAATAAAATAATCTATGTACCACGGAAATTATAGGTTGTTAATAACCTTGAACAATTATTGACTCTCTTTGTTAATTATTGAAACTTTGTCATCGATAATTAACACCCTTATAATTCGCTTGATACATAAAGAACTATAACATTTTGTAAACTAAAAAAATTGTAACAAAGATCTATAATATAAGAAAATATTCAATAAAAGAGTTATACAGTGCAACCTCTTTGAACACATATTGCGATGTTATAGTCGGAACGTTCCTAAAAATACTTGTCAATTACGTAGCACGGTGTCTCCTTGCTTTGTCTTTAGCGTTCCTCCCTTTTTGAGTAACATGTTTGAACTTGAATGTTCAGTGTACTTTTGATCTTTAATATATGGGGAAATTAAAATAACTTTCGTTACACATCATAATACGACTACTAGCAAACTTCATAAGATGACGCATGGTGTCATTGATGACGTGCAACGAATGTTGTTTTAATTTCCCTTTATACGCCTAACATCCATCAGTTTTGTGGATCACTACCTTACTACTTACAAATCGAAAGAAAATGTTAAAACGAAAACATGTAATGGTGCGTCCAGACCTGAGGAGTCGAGTGCGAGACGAGAGCAAGACATTTTCTATCCATTTTTTGACGCAAGCCTGCCACGAGACAAGCGAGTTGGATCATAGTGAAAGGTGACCGGTTTGTGGAAACATGTCCGCAAAAACATCCATAAAACCTGCTGCAAATAATAACGCATAAGTGATAAATCTTTGTATCTTTAACATGATATTTGGTTTGTCGTATTTTATTCATCGTCGATTTTTTCCCCTTTCACCCTTCATTTGTTTCGAGATACGACGTCTTGTACAAAATTCGTTTTTAGAACAAAATGTTAAATAGAAAAGTTATAGGAAAGGTTAAGAAGCACATTTGAAAATTACTGTAGAGTATACAGAGTATACCGTTTTAGGTATATAACATTATACCTCGCATTATACTTAAAAAAGTTATAAAATTTTACGCAGAATCTAAAAATAAAATAAAAAATAGGGTATTACATTTAAAAACCATGTTATATCCGTAATACTATTTTGAACCACCCTGTATACTCTATAATAATTTTAAAATGTGTATCTTAACCTTCTCTACAGTTTTTCTATTTTTTTAATAATTCTAAAACACTTTTTAATAATTCTCAAAACAAATGAAATAATGAACTTTATCGACTCACCCTGTGTATTTAATTTACTAGGTAACAAGATTCATTAATAATTAAACTTCGTATAATAATCTCCTTCCTGTATGTTGCCAGTAGAGAAATATTTTTTTTATATTCTCAAGTTTTATTCAACGATTGTGAAATATGTATCCACGCATCGTGTTTATTGTTTTTTTTTAATATTCTTTATCTTTTGGATTCCATAATATTGGTTTCGCTTTATATAAATCGATGAATTTCAGCTGATCTTCCGTCCAAGTCTCCATTTCAATATGCACTAATATCAGAGCTAATATCTCGCAGTCGAGCGAGCCTACCAAAAACACGTCCAGACTTGGCCGCGAGCTTTCTTTGATCGGCCGTCGAAAAACCGACAGGGGACGGATAGCAACGAGGCTCCGTGGGTTGTCGAGGCTCTTGCGAGACCCGTCCACACTTAGCTAATTTCGAATGTCTCGCGCTCGTCTCGCACTCGACTCCTCAGGTCTGGACGCACCATAACGTTGGAACTTAAAAAGCGAGGCCATTTCAAAACTATGCATAAAATGAAGATTTGCGTGTATCCCAAAGGTAGCAAGGATGACTTCAAATATTTAAAAAACTGTTCAATAAATAATGTACAAACTTTTGTGGTTTGTTAATTTCTTAAGAAAATCCCATTTTTTCAAGAAATGAACCTGAGGTTCAATATTTGTGAGTTTTTTTGCACTATATAATACAATAGACTAGCATATAATTATCTGTTCCCATTAAAGAGGTTGCCGCTGTATTTAGAAAAATTTCTTCTAATATATTCCATGCTTTAACCAATTTTAGAAATAGAATATTATTAGTAATTAAGGAGACATTTGCGGTTTATATATTTCTTTTATTAGTCAAAGTTATATGAAACAATCTGTGAAATTATACTTAATTACCTTTTAACAAAATAATAGGCTAGAAAAATAGTTTAACTTTGGTATATTGGTTTTTGTTATTGCAATATATTGTTTTTACATATCTGTTTGTTTTATATTAGTGAATTTATTTTAGAAATGTTGAAATAAAATCAATATAATTGCATACATCCTGTGTTTCGTTATGGGATAGGTGGGTAGGTACTATTTACAAAACTATTATCGAGATAATACTATTTTTACAACAAATATTTAACTATAACTAAAGTCACAACGTTTTTCAAGCATTAATATACATATATGAAGATTTAAATTAGAAACAATTTAATACTTATTAAGTCAAGGAATATTAAAAAAAATGTCTTAACCTAGAATTTCAAATAAATATTTTTACAAAAAAAACGCGGAGTAAACTAAAATACTAATAATATACTGACTAAAATGTTCATGTCGAATACAAAACAGCGTCAGAGTTGTCTGGACACCGTTTTTTGGATCATACGGTACAGGTTTAAGTTAGAAAGAACTAAATCTATAGATTTGTTATTTAGTTGGTGTAAGTGTATGCTACTGTGCCAGCTACAACTATTTTAAGATGAACTATATTGAAGAAGTCTCATAAATATAGTTAATGAGACTTTCAGTATAAAACAGTATGTTTCAGTCTTGTTTAGCGTTGCATTATTTCTAAAGTTTATAAAGAATATACAGTAAAAATAAATATATTCTATTGTTATATTTTCATCTTGAAATACCAAAAAAGTAATAAAGAAATGAATTATATAACATTTTGTGGTTCAAGCAGCATCAAATTAGAAAATCCCTTTTTTTAAGACTGCACCAACTTTTTGATACGTGTAGAATTTTTAGTTGCCTAACTTCTTTAGTTCGTTAGTAAAGATATAATATATTTATTCTTCAAAAGTTGTGTAGCCGTTTTATTATACGCGTCATATCATCCTCCATTATTGTTTCCAGTATTGTTGTGGTTGTTATGAGCATTTCCATGGAACATGAACGGTGTTTCTTGCGATGGTTCCAGCTCTGCAGTGGTTGGTGTAGGGATATTTTGCAATCCGAGACTGGCTTCGTTGAGTTTCTTTTTACGTTTCAACTTTGCCCAAATTTTTGGCATGGTGTACTTGTCCAGGACAAACGTGCACAGTGTTAAAATACCTAAAATTTCGTAATATTTATTCGAGTCATTTAAATATATACATAGTGTCCCATATAAGGATTTTATTAGATTTTAAAACATTTCGTTGTAGGCTTCAACAAGGCGCAAATTTTTTCCGATTTATTTTAATCATCTTTGACACTCCTCTGTTTTACGATATCCCTGTAATGTGCATTCTTATATGGAACACACTGTACACACTTGAAAATAGTGATGAACGAGACTGGTCTTAATTTGTCGTCAGTGTCAGTCGTTTTCGTCCTTTTATTATATCAAAAATATGGCAACGTGCACGTGAAACAACAAATCTTACTGGCGAAGAATGTGTTCAAGCATTAATATTGTCTGAGGAAGGTTGGAGCTACCGAAGAATTGGTGAACGATTTAATGTAACTCACTCAACCATTTCACGAGTTATACAACGGTATAGAGATACTGGGAGTAATTGTCGCAAGCCGGGACAAGGCAGGAATCGAAGAACCAATTCGATTCAGGAACGTTTTTTAAAACTCAACATTAAGACAACGTTTTGTAACAGCTCGGACCCTTCAAACTCAGCTCAGAGATACTAATGGTCTACAAGTTTGCACAGAAACTAGCATCACTATTTGACATTTACTGGTAATCCGTGTTTTTCCATAGCCTGCTACTTACTTTAGTGAGTAAAATGGAAAAATGTTAATTAAAACCAATATTAAATCATGTCATCCTATAAAATGTTGTTTCTCGTGTAATAAGGAAGATAATGGAGTAAATAAAAAAACAAAATGTAAAAAAAAGATAAGGCTAAAATGTGATTTCAATTTTAACTTGATACTGTAACTGATCAACTCTACAGGGTGTCACAAAATTTATTAAAAAAACACGTTATAATTGCTACACCCGGTATTAGTATAAAAAGGGTTCCTATCAAAATACAGTTAGTATAGCAACATTGTGGAAAGAATAACCTATAATTCAAAAAAAAATCGTCCAAATCGGATAAGTGGTTTTGACAAAAACTTAACTTAAACTTTTGGTTATTTTTTTGTGGTGCGTTAATTTATTGGGGAAGTGTATATTTATAATTTATTTATTTTTGTTTCCTAGAATATTTTCATTAAAAGAAAATATTATATAAAAGTGAGCAACGCTGTGCCGGTCAAGCTTAATCACGTAACTAAAAGTTTATTTGGTATGAACTGTAGGTATATTTGTAATGGAAGCATTCGGTTCACTTGAATGTGTACTTGGACCAGTACACCATTGACCGATTCAACCCGGCTTTATAGAGAATTATATCTGTATAAGACAGGAGAATTTGTCTCCGCAGATTTTTAACTCAATACATTTTTAAGCATAGTATGCAATCAAATAGGTACCTACAGCTTAAAATAAGTGTAGCAAAGGAAGATTTAACTATTTTTTAGGTAGGTATATATTACCTAGTGCTCCTTCTAAGGCATCTAACGCAAGCTGACTAGATACTCCGTTGTAAAACAAATGAGGAAACCAGAACAATGTTGCCAAAATTATAACCATATACGTTCTACACCTAAAAATAACAAATAGATATATGTCATATATTTAATAGGTATTAATAAATGTATTGTACAGGGTTTTTCTAAATTCCGATTTCGATCGACATTTAAAACGCTACTGTGACGTTGTTTTTTTTTTCTCTCGATCGTACGGTATTCGTAATCATACTATACTATTTGATTTATTATATTATTAACTATGAAAATAAATATACTTTACTTACATGAATTTATAACTGTTTCTATTCGCTACCCAATCGCAGTCGATATTTATCCTGGGATCGACATCGTTTTTATTTATTAATCTCTGAGCGAGTACAATAAAAACTATAGCTACGATCACCGAGATGACCATAGGGATGTACAGGATCAGAAAGCGTTCAAAAGGAACTAGAAATTTTAATAATTAATAAGAAATCTAAAATTCGTTCAGATTTAATTTACGCCTGACTGAAACAATGAGCGTTACTCCAACCAAACCAAAACCTGTCTAAAAAAGTCTCTTATTGGCTAATAAACTATAGATCTTTGAGACGAGTTTTAATCTTAGTGCCTATATAAACTTTGTGGGCATAGAGATATACCATACCATAGACTTAATATTTTATTTTAAGTCTATGTACCATACCATCTAAAAAAACGGCGTCAAAGATGGCAGTATACATATGTACTATAGCTTATTACCAATGACTAAAGAATACAAGGACGCGTAACGCGTATATACTGAGAGTTAATTTAGTCGACATCTGGTTCCAGTTAATTTTGTGAGCTAAAAAATGTATAATCAATTTTATTATAAATGGAAAATATGTAAAAAATAAAATTAAAAACCCTCTCATTGTGAGACAATTAAAATTGCATTTTTTATTTAATTCTGCTATTTTTATAATTAACCCTTTTGCACGGTAAGAGGTACCCTCTGGTACCAATTTGATTCCTGGTGTTGATTAACCTAATTTCTTACGAGTTCGTAAGTATTACGAACAAATTTTCGTACGTTTCCGCCTCAGACGTAAATGAAATCCGAATATACTTTAGTTGTAGACAAAAAAATACAAATTAATAAAGATTCAGAACAATTAAAAGATTATGGAATTTAAGATATTGGATTTAATAAGGTTTAAAATAAAATAACTTACCCAAAAAATTGCAACTGTTTGAATTTCTTATAAACGTATCTGGCATATCTGGTGTCCACTCTTCTCCAGAGAACAGCGAAATCAATAGCATAAGAAGTGCTATACCAGTAGATACTCCTAGATACCAATGCAATCGCCAGGCTTGTCTGTTATTTTCTCTTGCTACTCTAAAAATAATATAGAATATTATGAAGTAGAAGGAAAATAATAATACTTTGAATAATGACACAATATAACATGGATTTACTTACTTGACCATATAGAATAACTCAAAACAGGATATGCTCAACCATACAAATGAAAATATAGTAAATGTGAAGAATACAAAACCTAAAATCAAAGAATGTTTAAATAGTTATACTAAGGGCTGGCAAAGATTAGTCTTGGGTCGAGATTTCCGTATTGAAGAAGAGTACATTGCGTTTATAATGTACTGAACAAAGAGAGGACAGTAAACACGTTGCCAAACGTATGAAATAAACCGAGAAATTGTGCACATCACTAAGAGACGTGGAAGGGGATATAGCAGATTTGTCACTTGTGTCTAGCCCTAGCAGGCAACTATTAAGCCCGACCAATCACGTTAGAGTTTTTGACAAACACAAATGAATTAACACACTCCAAATAACCACGCTAACCAACCTGATTGGTCAAGCTTAATAGTTGACTGCTAGGGCTAGACACTTCTGATTTGTCGCAGTTGACCGGTCGACCCAATCAATACCTCTGTCAGTACTTAAAATTCTAGGGAAAGGTGTACGTCATGCGTTCAGCTTCACGATTTAATTACGTCTCGTGATACTTGATTTGTTCATTTATTAACGAATCGTTGTAATTTTGCCTATAGCTTGAATTTTTTTAATTGCAAGCTAGAAACACTTGCATTTTTGGTAAAAATAAGTGGAATTGAGTGGGTGTTCGATAGTGGTCGCGCTATTAGAACTCTGAATTCAAAAATCGATATCTCGAAATCTATTAGAAATAATAGATTGTAGTTTTTTCAAGAACTTTGTTAATATTTCTGCTGTATTTTCTTTGTGACAGTATGTGAAAATCTTTATCAATAAAAAAATTACACGATTGCTAAAAATTGCTTGCTCTAAAAGTAAATGGATGGACTGTTTACAATTTTTGAATGGAAAAAACAACCTTATCGAATTTTTCTTATGTAAACATATTGTAAAATATCCGATCTTGAAAATAAAAAAAAGTTTCAATATCTAAAGTCGTTCTTGATTTATGGCCTGTATGTGTTAAAAAGTTGAGTTTTTAAATTATTGCGATTACTGACGTTTTCTCGTTATAAAAAAAATGACACCTTAACGATATCCTTATAATTCCATTTCAGATGCTCAGAAACATGTCTAATGATTTTATCTAGTTATCTCTTGAAAAAAAGTCTTTTAAAAATAAGCGGTTTGCGATCGTGATTTTACTTTACTTGATAGGGAAAGGCGTATCGGCAACGCCGCAACAGCACACCGTCGCGCGTCGCGTCGGTCACTCACTCCGACTTAATAATATCCCTATGCGATTTACTTCCACCTTCCACACATGTGAATGCCGACCCAAAAGTAACAGTTGCCAGCACGGTATAATTATCATAAACCATTTCTTTTAACATTATTCTTGTATCATAATATTTATGACACATCAAGAAAAAAAATTGAAATTCAAAATTGTAGAAGCTATGGAAGGAATATAGTAGGAGAGTACATGATGCTAAATGTTGCAATGTAATGAGATAGTATGTATGTTAATTGTTTTGAGAACAACTAGAACAAAAAGACAGTTGTCTCAAAAAGTGACAGTCGTTAATTTGTCATTCTAGTCCACAATAAAATTGTATTTTCTGTTATGTTTTAAATGTCATCTGTCGAAATTTTCTCTCGCTCGTTGGACAGGTATGTTTGGATGGTCTCCAAATCAAACATTTGATTAATAACATTATTAATATGTAAAAAACATGACTATAAAAACAGAAAAAGACAAAATCTACTCACCAAATATTCTACAGACAGTATAATTACTTTGCACGCTGAGTATTACCAGCGACAAGAAAACCACAAACATGGATGCTGAAAAAAATATGACGCATTTTTTCTTGATAATATCGCTTTCGTTTAATAGCAATCCGTATGAAGCAGCAGTCAGCGCAAAGCATACTGTCGATATACCCATTACTGAAAAAAATATATCATATTCAAAATTATATTTAATTATTAAATGTGTATTTTTTTATGAAAGTTCATGATCTAGGTCAGTCTTAAAAACTTTAGTTAGTTTAATACCACACAATCGAAAAAAAAACGGCGTCAAAGACGGCTGGAGAATGGCAATCGATGATAATTTTGGCGAGGTCAAGCCCTAGATGTCATTTAATTGGCCCGTACTTATCTTATATTACAAGGCGATGGTAGTTAGATGTTTATAGGTTCTTTTGAAATAAAACTCAAGGACAACATGATGCTGACATGTAAACACTGACGAATTTAGACTAGAGTAGCTTAGATTTCGTTGGCTATCGTCCTGTTTTACTGCGACCTTTTCAGATCTATTGTGGTTCTTTTCTGATCGCTAGGTTACAGTCCTATCCTTTTCAAAACATCTAACAACTTGGAGACTGAACTCTCCATATAGCACTAGGTCCATGGTCTATCATTGCCTAATACAAAAAACTGCACATTTGCCAGACTGTCGTACTGATATAAAATGTGTTCTGTCGTTGATTCTTCTTCAGACTGACAAAACCTGCATACAATTACAGGAATTGTATGCAGAAATTCCATCCATCAAACCCACCAGTTTAGATGCTTGAAGTTTACAAAGTTTCTGGTCGTATCGTGTATATGTTTATTGTAGTGTGGACGGTTGGAGTCGCCATGAACCTTTGTAGGCACTTGGAATACTAAATGTTTTAGTTCCTGAAACGTCCCAAAGAAGATAATTGTTTCCTTTTAAGCCTTCCCAAATACAAACGATTTTTTTTCTCCATACTAATTACTGGGAACAAACAATAATCATAGTTAAATATATTGTTATTGACGAATTTATAAACATGACACTCCATATTATTAACATAAAGTTATACCAACCAACTCACCTACATAGAAAAACATTCTTGGCCGACTTGATTCTATAGGAATAACACATAGCTTAGCCACCATTTCCCTGTTCACGTAATCCAAACAATATAAGTCTGGAGGATAATAATCCACATCGATTAGATATCCATTTTTTTCAATCTTAAAACCTTTGGATTTAATTCCTATATAATTTGGAGGGCAACTATCACCATATATGGTAAAAAAATCATTAATCGTTTGACTAGAATTCGTATATCCTTGGATACTAAAAGATCGATTTGTTCTAGTGCATTCAATGCAATTCGGATTATCCATGACAAGTTCCATGGACTCTGGACAGCATTTTCTAATGCAGTTTCTCACTGAACACGGACAGCCCCAAAGTGTTGAGTCCTTGACAAAATAATTGCTTTTTTGAAAGACGATACCGTCAAAAATTACCAAGTTGTACACTTGAAGTCCTTCTGTTATATTAACACGAAGAATATTAGAACACAGATCTGAAGAACACTTCACTAAAGCAGTTGAGAAAAGCAAGAGAAATAAAAGAATCATTTTTAGTGATATGGAATAATGCGATGCTCATACGAATTAAAATTGATTTGAACTGACCTGAAGTATCTAATAAATAAATATTCTTATCATTTTGATAAACCTCCAAGAATTATAATGATTAAAATAAACATAAACAATACATAATATACAGTATGATTAATAAAAATCAATGAAGAGATTTGTTAAATCCGATTATAAAAATATGTTAAATCCGTTGTAAATATTGCTCTATACCGTTCTCTGGCATGTACAAATTGTCAAGGCCGGTCATGTTATAATGTTGAATCACCAATAATAGAGGATTCGTTTTATACCAACGAAGAAACATGCGATACATCACTATTGACGCAATTTACTTACATCCAGGATGAAGAAAACGAACAAGACGAAGATCAAGAAGAACAACAAGAAGAAGTATTTGAAGTGAAAAGTAAGAAGAAGTATTATTGAAATTAATCGTTTTTTTCCATCACTGGTCAGAATCATCAGCAGATGTTTAAACATATTAAAAATATATATCTACAAATTGAGCGATTATATAGGTGCTCAGTTGGTGCTAACCAAGCGTAACAAAACTAGAAGTATTTACCTATATAATAGAGCAGATTGGAGTCGTTCTCCTTGGCAGTGTGCTGGTAGCATACTACTGTAACAGTCTGGTAGTCTTTTTTCTCCAGATCATAAGAAATGTCCATACAAAACTCATTGTGAGCCTTAATACCTTCCCCTTGGATAATTAATGACGAATTGTATATTATTCCATAAATATCGCTGTCTCCTACACCAGCTCTGCAAAATAAAGTGAGAAAAAAATGTTGTTTCTATTTCAAAAAAATATGTCAAGTTGATACACAGGGTGTCCCAATATTTCGTGGACATAGAACTGCATTTTTTTGGAATTAAAATAAGTTCATTGGACACAATTTACCTCTATACAAAAGTGCTTCGTTTGTCCGTTAGAGGGCATCAAACTTTAAGATAGAGTTAAAGCACTTAGCAAAACATACGCACCCCAAATCTCATTTAAATCGGAATAACGGTTCTTAAAATATTATCTTATAAAGTGTCTTTATTTTTTTAAAGTTCTGCCCGTTCCATCTAACGGGCAAATGAAGCACTTTTGTATGGAGGTAAATTGTGTCTAATGAACTTATTTTGATTCCAAAAATACGTAGTAGTTCCAGGTTCACCAAATATTGACACCCTGTATCTTCTTGTTAAATTAAATGTTATTTCAAACTTTCATTCTTACATTATGCCTCCTTCACATGTTATCTTGTAAACGTAGAGCCTCAGGTCGTACTGTGAATTGTCCAGTTTGATGTCAGGATCCAAACCTGTAACATTACTTTCAAAAACGGTGACGTTCCATGAGTAGGAATCCAAGTCATCAATACACCCCAATTCTTGTAAGAGAATTTGGCCTTGGCCACAACATTTCGGTATCCTATACACTGGAATATCCTGTAAAGTAAATTATAATTGTCGATCATCACCTTCAAAAACAACAACTTCAAATAAATAAAAAAGCAGTAGAAAAAAAGTAGTAGTAGTTCTAAAGAATAATATTTTGTTTAGTGCTTGCAAATCTTTTCTGATAGTCAAGCAGCCTTAAGAGCGATCAACTCAGTAACCATCATTTCGAAGTTGGTTAAAGAATGTTTAGAGACACTGAACAGATTATGCAAAAAAAATACTCGTAATCCTACTCTAGATGTCCGGCCAGCCCACCAAGGGATAGAATAGTACGAAAAAGCAAACGATCTAGCAAGCAAAGGAGCGAACACTCCACTAACTGAACCAGAAACTTTCTGCGATCAAAGTGCAAACCAACTTAAAGCAGAACTCAAGAACCTTGAAGACTTAATCGATAAATTGGAAAGGGAATTCTCCAACGGTTTAAGACACTCAAGGAAATTTCTCAGCGCTTACAACCGAGGAAAACTAAGGATTTTCTTTCATTTAAGAAAGAACAATCTTCGGATTATCAGGGGGTATTTAACAGGACACAGTCTCCAGAATGAACAGCGCAATAGATTGAAGCTAAAAAACAACGGCGAATTCTGTGGGGAAAATGGGGAAACACCAAAACACCTCATCATTGAGTGAGCCGAGACGACAACCATTCGTGCCATAAGCTTTGGTACGACGGATATCGGAGATGGAGAACTAACCTCTGTAAAACCGTCTCAGACACTGGCTTTTGTTAAAGCTTTGGACTATATGATGAGCTATAACTAAAGAAAGGAGGACACAATATATCTATAAGGATGCAGTGATTAACTTCCACCCTGAAATACAATCTAGTGATTGCATTAAAATAAACGGGATATCTTTTTCAGTAAGCTTATCCAGGACGTCTTAAATTTCCAGGTGTAAATAACAGTAATGTTTTATTGTGTGGAAGAAATAACAAAGGAACACAGGAAAGAATACACTGTTCAGTTACCAAATTCAGAGATAGTGAAGCAGAACTATAGACACTCTATTCAACAGAGGTCAATTCTAGACTAATACCTACGGAATAGTTTGCGTGGGTTACGTTTATCTGGGTACCGAGTACAAGGACAGAACAGCAATGAAAAGGCAGATGAGATGATCAAACGAGACTAATCAATGCCATTCATAGGTCCAGAACCACTCTGCAGTGCTCATTGCAGTCATGTGCAGATTATGTCCATCTGAAGAAGTAACGCCAGAAAACATTTTATGTCAGTGCGACAGCCTGGCAAAAGTGCGATTCTTTGTATTAGGCAATGATAAGAAATTTACAATGGGCTATATGGAAGGTTCAGTCTCCAAGTTTTTAGACTTTTTGAAAAGAATACGACTTAAGAGTGAGTGTAAGAAGCAACAAATTAAAACACTAATTCACAACAATACACCAAAACACTTTTACTATTGCACTGGACGCGCGTTTCTATGTTAGTATCAGCAGCAGATGATTAAAACGAAACTAACATCTACAAATTGAGCCTTTATATACTCGCTCAATTAGCACCGAGTAGGCGCGGCAAAAACTAGCCAAGCGAGTCAAAATCAACTTAGCGTAGCAATTATTTTATTATTTACCGAAACTAGAGCAGTATGAACAAAGAACTGTAAGAAATTGAACCATTGTCTCTGTTCATACTATCTTTACGTTGATTACGTTTCACGCTCTCATATGCATCTAATTGCCTGTAATTTGAGACTTGTTTTATTAATTTTAAATTATTAATATCTATACAATGTTTTTTATCAACAATATGTTGAGCAACGCAAGATTTATCCGGTCTACCATATCTTATCTGATATAGTTAAAGGTGTGATTTCCTAGCGAGGCGACGAGACGCGACACGACGGCTGGCGTTCGCATCTCACCGCACAATAGTTCGTTTCCCTATGAAGTGATACTGGGTGATATATTACGACATTGATATAATAAAATACAGGTTTTGGCTACGTACGTTTATAGAAGCGAACCAGTGTGCGGCGGGTCGTGGACGCCAGACGTCGCTAGGAAATCACACCCTAATATTGATCTTCTAGTTTGCCCAACATATTTCTGATTACATTCTTTACATGAAATTTCATAAATGCTCGACCTTTCCAGTGGAGGTGTTTTATCTTTAGGAATACCTAATAATTGTTGTAATTTATTATTAGCACTATACACAAATTCACAACATGGTTAGCGAAACGCGCGTTCATTGCAAAAGTAAAAGTGTTTTAGTGTATTCCGGTGAATTAGTGTTTTATTTTGCTGTTGTAACACTAAAGGTTTTAAACCCCGAACTGATAATGTAAGAAGCAGATAATGGCTAAAAAAATATTGCATTGGAGTAGACCATGATTGTATCATGGGAAAGGCTAACTAAACAGTATAAAATCTAATCTAGTGTTTTCACAGCTTTCTGTAGCTATTTATATTTTTGTATTTTTTTATAGTAAAATCTTTATTAATAAATATTATCAGTAAATTAAGGCATTTTATTTACATCGTAAATAAGGTTCATATAATTTTTTTTAATATATATTGATATCTATTATAAAATTCTTACCGTTCTCGATTGGTTATAATCCCTTATAGCACTTTTATTCACACTATCAAAAATTACATAATCCAGTGTACTACCATCATTCACTTCTAAAAAAGTCACATTGTCTAAAGTTGAATTCGATGGCAAATCAATGTAAACATTGGTATGGTTTCCTGAAAAGAAATCGTATACAAATCATCTATAAAATAACAAAAATCTCTTGAATAAATGTAGCTTTTGGTATAGTACTTAGCATAGGCCCCTACGAATCGTCGTATCTTCAATATCTTTGATTCATAATAATTGCATTAGCGAAATACCTTGTGATGATATGTTTAGTAAGCTCAACAAGATATCCAGTAATACCTAATATCTTGTTCAAATAGCAAGTGCTTGAATAAATAATATAATATATCAAATATTTTTTGTATTCTAATATTTCGATAGCTTATGATAAGTATGGCTTGAGGGAATGTAATTAAAGATATGTGTTTTTCTTTCTCAAACCAGAGAATATTTCCTTAAATTCCACATCATTAAACATCAACTTACTTCAACAAACTACACACTTTAGGGACCCTTTTTACTCTTGTACGGTTGAGGATACTCTCGGCCGAAGGAACTATAACTATAATTAGATAATAACTACCTAAAAATGGTTTCCTAGCTACAAGGTACTTCTGGCCGTAGACACTGGACGTACCAGTCCAATATGACAGTTCACTTTGAGATCCCTTATACGCTAAATTTGATACAAATATCGTCCTTTTGTCCTGTAGGATTATCGGTCCGGATGAAATACTGGTACTGTTAAATCCTGAGATCTGAACGTCAAAATGCAAGTTCGTTGACGCCTGGAAAGACAAGATAAATATATTATTGTATCTTTGAAAGTGTTAAGATATTGTTTATATTAAATAAGTTAAAAAGTATGGCTTAGTATGGCTTCAAATAAAAACCCAATTCTGCCAATTCTTCCGTTTTGTTCTATAACATTTTCTTTGCCTATAAATTGTCACCCTAAAACCGTTAAAAATTCGGGAAAGTGACCACATGTTTATGCGTCCTAATTTTTGCCTGTTAAAGATGGAGGTGAGACAGTTTGTAAGGTAAGTTAAAAATTTTGTATCTAATTTATGAAGTACTTATAGCTTTACGTGTATGTAGAATAGTCTAAACATTTATTTCAAATAACGAAAAATGATACTTTTTATTATTTTAATGTTAAATTTAGATGTCCGATAAACTCGTATACAATTTTGCTTTAAGGAAAAATAATTCTTTTGTTTTATTTATTTTTCTTGATAATTGATATGAAATTCTACTGTCTTTTTCGTTTGAAATATAATGAAACATGAGTTTTTGGTAGTGTTTAGTGGTCGGACAGCAAAAACTCAACACAAACGTAGATAAAAGGAAATAACAACAGTTGTTCAACCACTGGTCAACGCTAAATTTAATATATTTGAGAGGTCGGACAGTAGCCCCTTTTCGACGTCATATTGCAAAGTTCAGACTGATTTTTTATGAGATTTTGTTTATTTTCAAGCATGAAGCCTAAAGCAAAAGGGAGTTTTCATCAATACAATAAAGATGCATTAGAAAAAACAGTCCAAACTGCCTGAGAAGAGGGAAAATCAGCAGTACTGGACCGTATTAAAGACAAATAAGCGACGCCGACGTTTGTAAACGAATGGAACCAGAACTTGTTTTAACCAGAGAAATTGAAAAAAAATTGTTACCTGGATTGAAAACGTACCCGTCTGCGGATTTCCAATAAAAAAACAGGTGTTACTTAATACAGTTGAAAAAATTGTATCTAGAAGAAGAAAAATTGAAAACGCTGTTTACTAATGGAAGCATGGTTTTATGAACCGCGTTGCTATCGTTTAAAGATTATTTTTTCATATAGATAAGATACAAAAAAACGGTATACAGATTGTTAACTGGACGATTACTTATTGGGGAACAGAATGGCAACACTCCCTATTGAGAACGCTCTCGTAGAACACTTTTAGGGTTTTCTGCCGACTCGTCCCGTCGCGTCGCGTCGTCTCTCGACGAGCTGGCCCAGGTTGCCATATTTCAACCATAAAGCTCTTGCCGCGAGTAATAAACAAATTAACAACCTGTATAATGTTCAAGATTTTTTTGCGCTTTAAAATTATACATATATTAAATACGGGACTGTGGAGAATCAGCCAATCTTAAAGTGTCCGACTTCTGGTAACTACTCGGCCGGACACTGGCAAGCGCTGTCCAACTATACTGACAAAACAGCACTTTTATCACTTTTTCATAAAATTTCATTTCCATGCCATCAATAAAGCAAATTTAATCGACAATTTAAGCTCAACTTTTTCTAAGCTGTCCGACCACTGGCTAATTCACCCTATATGTCCACTTATTTAAGACTCTCACCCTGTATAAGCTATTATTAGAATAAAAATACAGGATTAACCAATGTTCAAATATAACAGTTGTTTTTTTAACTGATTCAAACTGGCGCTCATAAAAATTAGAAAATGATATAAATATTTATGGGTTATTGTTTTATGGTTGGCCAACTGACGGATTTTATTAACACGTTGTTAATTTTGTTCGACTTTATCTTTTTGGAGGAATGCAAAGTCGTAATCCGCATCCACCGCCTTAACCAAAATATTTATTAGTAACCGACAACACCTACGAAACTTAAAATCTATTATAGTATCAGAAACTCGGTCCAAAATACACGAAAAATATCAATTTGATTTGTTTATGATGGATCATAAAATCAAAAGCAGATCAAAGCTACAGAAGTTGTAAATAAATACAATTATTATGTAATTTATAAATCCCATAAATCACGTACAGGGTCGCTTAGGTTACATTAGGCAAAATATACGAGGTCCCGCAAAAAGTTAAATACAAAAGTTGTAAGATTTTTAAATACCTAACATGTTGTAATAAATTTAGGTATACAGGGTCGGTCATAAAGTCGTGGCACCTCTAAGATTCTTTTTTTTAAATAAAACCCCCTGTAAATTATTGGGTATTTCAATTCGTCCTTTTTTCATTTTAATTTTAAGCAAAAATTGTAATACATATAACGACGTAAGATAAAAATGATTATACCCAATAATCGACCGTTTCCATACATACCAGCGACCCTGTATACAGGTTGTTAATTTGTTTATTACTCGCTGCAAGAGCTTTAATAGAGTCGATAGACGACGCGCGACGCGACGGGATGGGTCGGCAGAAAACATTTGCGTCTAACCCCAGCAAGGCAACTATTAAGCTTTGGTTAGCGTGGTTATTTGGAGGGAGTTAATTCATTGGTTAGTTGGTTATTTGGTGGGGTTGGTTGGTTTTTACTAATTTATATTTGTTTTTTAGATATTCATTGATTTTCTTTATTTGTTTGTAATAAATTATATATACTCTGTTTTTTTTTCTCAGGTAAGATTTCGACTATGGATTTCGACAGACGATGACAGAAGAAAAGCAGATGACTTTTTGTAAGTTAACTATGGTTGGGTTTAAATATAAATCCGTCATGCGTCGTCTCTTGTTTTTTTTAACCAGTTTTATTGGTTCATTTCAAAAATGACAGATCATATTTCAATTTTATTGGTTTTGACGGAACGATGAACGACAAAGGGACGCCGATGCGTATGAACACGGCTTTAGAATTTTGATGCTTGTCAAAGTCTTGCCAAATTATAGGTTATAGTTTTGTGTCAACTTATGTCAAATATCTGCGTTTTGGAAGATGATGCATTTTGATTCGTGTTATTACGTGTGTTTTGTGTCTTTCGAAGTCAAGTGAAGGCAAAATCGAGGGAAAATTAACTGTAGACCCAGAGCACAGTTTATAGTTAATACTTGCTGCACAGGCAGAAAGTCTTATACACCAATATACACCATCAATAAAGTTTGTATACCATCTCGTCGTAGATAAGTGCATCTCGTATATGGTACAAGGATCGTACTAAACATATACTACTGGAGTAGCTATAAAATATCGACATCACACGATAGTTTAATAATTATTTGTCGTCTTACGCGTGCGTAGTGAGTCTGTTGTCTTTCAAGTGAATCCCCAACTCGGTTATGTAGCTTTAAAGACAACAGAAGAAATTTATCTCGAATATATTGAAGAGTACCTCAAAACCCTCCAGCCCTTAGCTTATGCCATCAATATATTGCATAGTGACCAAAACACATCACCACTTTTTAATAGACATGTATTTGATGACATCTCTTTGTATTGGATACATATAAAGTAGGTACTTGATAATCGGTTAAGTTTTATAAAAAAACATATTTTTGTCTTTGTAGTTGTTCTGAAAATTAACTGTTTTATTTTATGTGGGTTTACTCGCATCTGTATTTACAAAAAATTTATAATACGATACTTAGTAAGAAAATTGCTAATTAGTAATACAAGAGAATTAATATTAACATTTAAAAAAGGTAGGTACTTATATAAATATTGAATTCTGGGTTGTTTTGACTTGAGGGTATATTGATTTAAGTCATTTTACTGACTTAACTTGCAGATCATCATGATTTAAGTAAAAAATATGGACTTAAGTCATATTAAAAAAGCAGTAGCAAAAAGCAATTACTTGACTTGAAATAAAATTACTTAAGTCAAAGACTTAAGACTTAAATCATTTGCACTTTATGTTGAATTTGACTTAACACTTAATTCATTTTGATTTTAGAAATGACTTAAAACTTAAGTCTTTTTAAAACTGACTTGTTGCAGCTCTGTTCAGGAGTATTTAAAAACAATCCTTATACATTCTAAAATATTTACACATCCTATACAATACGAATGATTTATAAACCAGAATACAATTATTTTAATATTTTATGAAGAATTTTATATCGTTCCTTGAAGTCCTATTATTTTTACTCTATAGAAATGTAACTCTCTCATTTATCATTCAATAATAAATGACTCTTAATTGACCTAATATAAATCTTTGCTAAGCTTTGTTACCATTCTACCATTTTTTTTGTAAATACTTTAATCTCCTGGAATCTTCCACTTTCAGAAAGTCATTATGAGTCAGTAAAACTTGATTTAAATTCTTTTTGTTCATTATTTTTCGAAGTTCAATATATCCATCGATCAGATTGACTTTACGAGTAACCTTGAGACAAAGAAAAATGGTCTGTAATATTTTAGTTTATTTTATAAAAAAGACAGGTAATATTAAGTTAAACGACAACATAATAAATTGCTGTAAATTGTATTGTAATAAAATATTAAAAAATAACTGATATTACTATATTTTTCATTGTTGTGGCACATTAGTGCGAGAGAGTGCAATATGGTCGTTGTTGACAGAAATGTCAAAAACAGTTTAATATAAATGTTGCCTAGTTTATATGAACTTACATATCCTAAAAATATTTTGTTGTGTACAAGATGTTCCCAAAAAAAGTAATGATGAATGACAGAAGTATTCGAAAATTTTATGTTTAATGAGGGCATTTGAATCAGTGATAATAATGCTCATGATAGGCAAGAATTTGGAACAACCAGTATAGTGTGTGGTTTCAAACTAACTGATGTTGTAATTTTTTTATTGCATTGAATGATGAAGGTACGTATTTTCTATATTGTAACATTAAGTAGGCATCGCCAGCGTTTCAATATTGTACCTTTAATTAAATACATTCCTGTGGCTAGAAAAAAAAACAGCCGCAAATCTATGTGGCACAAGTTAAAGGAAAAGAAATCCCTGTTTTTTTTTTCGGTCGACAGTATCAGGCCTTTCATCTGTAAATGTCGGCACCCGAGGGCAATTTTTTTAGTAAACTAAAGTCGATTTTACATACACAGATAACATCA